CATGTGCCACTGTAAAGAACTGTAACTACACATTGAAACTATTAAAGATTCATGTGCCACTGTAAAGAACTGTAACTACACATTGAAACTATTAAAGATCCATGTGCCCCTGTAAAGAACTGTAACTACACATTGAAACTATAAAAGATCAATGCGCCACTGTAAAGAACTGTAACTTGCCAATATGACTATAGCTTACAAGTTTCTGAATAGAAAACCATACCTTATGGGACACTTATAAATTATTTATAGTGAAATACAATGTAAACAAGATATATCAACAGCAGTTTTCTGAGCTTAAAAACATCAGCGGGGCTAGACCAGGATTCGAACCACAGAACCTCAGAATTCGCTATGACCGATTGAGCCACCTATTAAACGGAAGTCCCTTCGCTCGATTGTGATACTGTTTGTATTCAGTTAACAGATCCCCGGGTAAAAAGTGAAATATAACCGTATATGTCTTCGTCAACGGTCAGCATTCTTTCATAGGTATTATACGTCATGAACGCGCTTGTTAAACATCTTATTTCACCCATTGAGGGAGCCTGAACCTAAGTGTTTATCTTAGATGGCCAATAAAACATCCTTGTCCGATTACTCTAGTAAGCAGAAATTAATACTCATGTTATTTTTCCGTAGAGGTGTCGATCCCATTTTAATGTATACATGAACAAAAGGTCGAAGGCCACTAAGGTCTTGGCGCAATATCTGGAAAGAAAAATCATGAAGGTACTGTGTGCAGCACAATTTCGGTTGGGCATTTTTTGTCTTAAAAGTGTATCATTAATATCGAATTACTTCAAATATAATTATCATTTCCATGATGTGCTAAATCATTTACCATTACAACAGTTCATATCTTACTGACTATCGTTGAATCAGTTTATCATAGTGTAGTTCAATACAAAAGATATGAAAAGGGACTAGTGATTTGAATGCAAACCTTCAAAGCAATGTGGGAAGAAAATACTATAATGCTTCTTCAATGTGAGAAGAAAATATTATAATGCTTCTTATTTGTTTACAGTGAAGTATATCGACATGGCAACGGCTACAATCGAAGAAAACAAAGAACTTTCAGAGGCATTTGACGTTATTCAAGAATATCCAAGGAACCGCTGCGAGGAAAACGACGAGATCGTACAGGGATTAACAGCTTTATTTGAAAATTTCAACAAGGATCCGAAAGGAACACCCGAGATTATTCTTAAATCGGTCACTTTGGCACGAGTGTTTAGTTTCCCTAAGATTAGTGCTATGATTGCTCGATCTCTACTCGTGGTTTTTCGACATGTCTGGAAAACTTACTCGGATTTCTACAGTGTCCCTGAGCATGCCACACTTAGCAGTAACCTGAAGGCAAATGCCTTTGGCTTCCTGTGTAAAATGAAGGACTCCTTGCATTGTCTGATTTCGCTCAACGGAAACAACTCTGATCCAAAACGGATATCAACTGCATGTTCCGAAGTTCCACTCTGTAGCACGGGAAACGAATTTTATGCTGAAGTGCAGTCTAAACTTCAGGAGTTGAAAAAACAGAAAAACATAGAAAAAAGTGAAGAAACTGAAGCACGATATCAAGCAATAGTTGATCTCCTTGACTTGCACTGCAATCTTGCAGTTTTGAAGGAATTCGTTTTTCTTTATATAGTCATTCTATGCATTGCAAATGGAAATTCGCAGAATACTGCCGAGGGTTATTTTGAGGTAATTGAAGGTCAACGAAAAGACAGGGAAACAACCTTGAATATCCTTTTTGAACCAGAAGCTGAATTCGCTGGTGTTTCAGCTGTTTTTATGAACGGCGATTGGCCCATGCTTCAAATGCATACTGAAAGAAGACTTTCGTGTCTGCACAAATACTTTAACAGCTTAGCTGGGAAGAAGGTTAAAATAGTTTCTTCTGAGGACGATACATTTGCAATGTTTCGACATCCATCAGAAAAGACCGTACCGTTTACACAGAAGAAATATATCCGCATATTCAACGACAAACACAGCAAATTTATAATGGAAAAAGAATTCGCATTGAACAAAACTTACTTTGTGATCCGCCTGGATGCTGAAAGAGAACTTACTTTAAAGATCAACGACAGTTCGAAAGGAAATCTGATAACTGACAAACGACTGCCGAGTGCTAGCGGCCAGTTCAACCTCGTGCGCTTGGCGAATGGCAACATAATGATTTCATGCATGAAACATCCTACACGTTTTGTCACCATGACTAGTGCAAAAGACGGCGACTGTCTTGAAGCAAAGAACATCGGAGCTGGATTTAACAGTCAGTGGCATATGGTCAATTGCCAAGTTAATCTCGACACTTAAATCGATTTAACATGATCGACCAGATATTTAATATTCCTTCATGGCGGTGTTTTGAAGTAGAATACAATACCATCAGAGTCACAGGTAGAGATGTCGAATCGAATCAGGTTTACATCTTCAGACAGCCTTCACAGTGTGTATAATAAAACAATTGGAAAATGACGAGTTTAATTGCATACGGAATCTCAGTGTGAATCAGTATGCTTGTATCTTCGTTCAGTGGACTAGATGGACATAAGTATGAGCGACGCCGATTTGTTCGTTTTAAGATCCCTATTTCACAGCAGAGAAAACGCTTGAGAGTTCGACGTCAGTTTTTGGACACACAGTTACCTCCCCTTAACTTTATTTTAAATGGGGTTGTCAACGGTAAACCGGTTACTCGGTTGGAAGACCACGATAACAAAACCATTAACCGAATAATCGGACATTCATTTACCCCCTTGAGGAGAGCTATGTCTCCCTTGCTTAGACTTACAAAACTATCTATAGATGCGATCAAAGTCGGATAGTTTGTTATAAATACCAGTATTCGTGCTTACATGTCTGGGTTGTTTTTGTACTCTATTGTAAATATTGACAAAAATATGCTGACAACGCCATACAAAACGGAACAGATTTTGAAAGGAAGCGAGAACACAAAGTTGTGATATATGCTGAGTTAAATGCGCTTTTACATGCAATATCTACACACTTGAATGCGCAAGCATGTCTTAAAACGTTTGCCGATTAAATTGTGTTGTACAGAACAATATAACCACACATTATCAGTGCAGATACTTATTATTTAATCCAGTCTTACTGTATTTCAACATTTGTTGTCCATGAAATATACTTACTGAGGATACATGACACTATTTACTGCGTTTAGCTTGAAAATGTTAGGAAACTTTCCTGCTAATTAGTACATACATGTATGTTTATGGTGTAAAGACGTTTAAGATAGAATATTTGCTAAACATATAATGTGTTTATTGTTGTTTATTGTTTGATAACCGAATTGACTGATTAACTGATTACTTGTTCGGCAGATTGTTCGAGTAACCGGTTTCCAAAATTAGACCGGTTTGACAACCCTAGTTTTAATATATAACCGTATCAATTGGACCCGAGTACTTACACTGATTCCGTCGCTCAGTTTGTTAGAAAATCAGTCTAGTTGTATTTTTACACCAGCAATACAGGGATCCTTAAACACGGTCAAAATAGTGAGAGTATCTGATCGGTGGTATATGTAACAACAATTCTCGACTCTAAATAGATAAAAAAAAAATCAAGCTTTAATAATACAAATTTTAAACATTTTGCGTAAGAGTAAACAATAAATTCACCAAACAATGTTCCTTGTCGTGTTGTTTATAGGCGTTATAACGACACATCATGCAAAGCATATAAAAGTTTAAATGCATACACGATGTACGAATCAGACGTGTCACAACGTTTCAAGGCCGACTGGTCCCTTTGTAAAGCCACGAGTCTTAGAGTGACATTGTTTGTACATACATTAAAGCGTCGATAAAACTTGAGGATGTACTTTAAAATGTTTCAATTACGTTGTGGTTTAATTTCGTGGTTTACGTACCTGGTCAAATTGATTCGTATTAAATGTCGAGGAAGACAAATATTCAAACTATAGATTATTACCAAATAGTTGGCCTTATATTTACGGTAACGGGGTCAAATATTTTAAACATGAAAACAATCAATATCTGAATGACAAAGGTACGGATGGTCAAAAGTTTGATCTATCAGTCAATTGTGATAAATAATTATCTGCATTTCTATAGAGATTAACATCTCCTAGAGTTAGTTGGCTAAACTAATATTGAGGGAAAGAGCAACCAAGATTGTTGAAATAGATAATCTTGACCTATGTCCAGGGTACCGAGGTCAAATGTGTTAAACATTGATTAAACCACACATGAATGATACAGGCACTGGTGGTTAGGCTTTATTGTCTTCAGAGTACTGATAATATGAGAATAAGAAGGCCTATACTGTTTGCTCAATTAGTCAAGAAATCGGGGAAAATACTTTGTCATCTAGAGATTCACATCTCGTAGAGTAAGTGTGTTTAAAGTTTATTAGGAAGATAAACTACCGAGTTTGTTTGTGAAAATAAGGATCCTCTGGCAAAGGTCGCAAGTGATAAGATGTTTCGAAATAATACTGACTCTAAAGAACTATATCAACGATATCTGTCTCATTGGGCTTTCAGATCAGTCACTTAATTTGACGTTCACATGGCTAACATGAGTCAAACTCTTCATACAATTCCTTGATGTAATATTGAAATAACGACAACAATTATAGTATTCTGTTTCAAACTACTTATTGCAAGTTCCTTTAATGGCACAATATCAAGCAAGCAGAAACAAAAACTAACTAATAACAACAAACATATTTACAAAGGGATGTTTTATATTTTAGTTGAGTAGTGGCACGGTTTTAATATACACTCTTAACTTGTTATAAATACCCCTATAGATTTTGAAATTTAAATAATTAAGCAGTTTTACGCACCAAATTTCGATTTCCACCTTTTCGTGCCCACTGACTCCGAGAAGGATGAAACAGCTGTATGGCGTAGTGTAATTCCATTTTTTGGTATGTTGTATCTATTACCAAATGTTAAAGGTGCAGTCCTATACATGTTTCTTAGGTTCATCAACAGTATACAACAGTATTTTTTCAAAAATAACTTATTCACATAAACTGTTCTAAAGTATTAATCCTTGTATGACAAACAACGTGACAATACAAGAATAATGTACGAATTGTAACAGAGTGTATTTACACAGGAACATAATCGTCCATGAAGTCCAGAATAATGAGATTTGGTATGTAGGTCATATGTCACAAGGGTCAAATGTGTTCAAATCCACAAACGGGAATTCGACCCTTGGTTGTTTTTATAGCATAATATCGACTGTGTTCAAATATATTACATTGAAGTTTCTTAAAGAAAATTCATGTACAGAAATCTTCATGCACAACCCGTTAAAGTATTGTTATACAATATAGCATGAAGTGATAACGTACTTGTGATCAACCTTTAAAGGACAAATTGAGAACCGAAATACCCAAGGTAAATATATATCTAATGGTCCTATACCTTGCTATACCATGTTATACAAATACATTGCATTTACTTAAACTCATTACTACTAGACATTCTGCTTGTGAGAAGTGGCATCAAAGTTGTTTAAGCAAATGAAATTAAAATAATTCTATCTCACAAGAGGAAAAAAATCAATCAACTACAGGCATTCAGTGGTGAAAAGTATGTATCTCGCTGCGAGTGACACGGTATCAAACGTGTGTTTGAAAACAAATATATAAAGGTATCAAAAGTGTATTTATTGAACATATGTGGCAAGAAGAAATGTATTCAAACTTGAAAAATAATTATATTCAGCGGACCAATTAATCCGGCTAGTGAGAACACAGGTCACTTAGTACCATCGTCCGGGTAGACGTCAGTCCGGAGTATGTAGTCCTGATTAACGAAAAAACACCATGCTTGTTTTCGAACGCCCCCATTATATGCATGCAATAAAAACATTATGCACAATGACATCAATGCAATCAATTTCTGACCAAGCTACTCACTGTGAAAATGTTATCGCGAATCAACATTTGGGGAAGACAGTTTAAACGATACGTATCCACTGATAATTCACGTCACATCCATTGTTTGCTATACCCAGCTGCACATCGTTTTCTGCTTTTCAATTTCGATAAAGCAGGTTTCGAGGAAAACATAACATTTCCATTGGATAGCCGTACGATGTTGAATTTGATACATTGCTCTGCTTGGGTCGTTCTAGAAGAGTGTAACAGATCTCTACTCATCTTCCACGTAAAGTCATCATGTTCACTGAGATGGATTCTTATACATGTATCAGATCCTCGATGTCAGTATGAGATCCGAGTTGTTGCCTTAGCTTTGGCCGATTACTGGAATTGAAACGGGCAGCCACACTTGCATCTTTCTCTTCCGGTTTTCGAAATAGAATTGTACCTAAGGCTGTTTTTTACTGACAAAGGGACCACCACAGTACCTTACCTGAAGCGGGTACTTTTTTATGGTTATTTACCGGACAGACAATGGGCTGGATTACTTTACATGAATACTTGCCTTCTGACAAGTTATTCAAGATTAGGTACAACCCATCAGAATCCCATGTGACCATAGGGGAATGGTCAGTTGGTGGTCATTGCCCATATATCATCAGGTAGATATCATATTGAAAAGAAAAATATGTGACTGGGGGTGGTTTCCATTGCCTAAGCAACCATATTTAAATCTGCCACTGACGAAAAGTTGTAACTGTATGATTAAAACTTGAGGTTCCCTGTGAAGCTTAATTGATTTGACTTTTTATCAGTAAATCTATCAACATATATAATGTATGTACATGCATATATACTTTACCTACAGGTTCTTGCACCCTGCAACCATGAATTTTGTTATCATTTTAACAAGTGGCAATTCATTACTATATTACCAGGCCATCTGTATACCTTCTACATTTGTGGGGAAGATAGTAGACCCAGGGGAGGGAGTGAGGGTTGGGGATGTATTTTCTAATCTAACCATCACCATGTTGTACATGTACCTGACGTGTTTACATATATAACAAAGAAATCTACATCATACGAACACATAGTGTTTTTTCTTAATTTTCCTACAAGAAGGCAACTTGGGATTAACAAAATTTCAATAATGAACATCTTAAGCTTGAGCTTTGCCTTTTATCTATATATTGCCATGATATCAGATTTTTCTGGAATTTTATCGTTTCCTGACTTGTTTGTATAAAACAAAGAAACGAATTACTCTATTGATGTCGTGTTATAGAGAAACCTTTCATAAAAAGTATGAAATTATAGGAAAACTTACCAAGTCGTTTACCCATATCACATAACAGATTCTGATCCCCAATCCTGACACTACAATAGTGATGTGATGTAAATCTAATCTCCGTGTACATGTATATGTTCCGTTAAAATTTAAGTAATCAAAAAACGAAACATATGTGAATCAATTTTATGAAATATTTATTTGAATGATTCTTCCTTTCTTTTTCAATTTTTATACCACAAAAAAACCTGTTTCATTACAAACAATTATTGAAATATGTTCTTCAGTCTTTTAAACTTTGTTAAACACTGTTCACATCGGTGTCCACTGGAGTTAAAACCGAATTGAACTGGAGTGCACTTCAATGTTTGTCAAATGCACTTCCTTGTTCACTACCTACGTGTGCACAACTTAAATGCACTTGCTCCCAGGTAACGTTACCTTACAAATCGGAACAACTTCGGAAGTTTTTTAATTCTTATACTAACTAGTTCAAGAATTGGTGCAATGAAAAGACATATGCCGCCATTTTAATAAGAGTTTCGGAGAGTTTCCCACCAGCAAATATTTCCTCTATATTTCCCTTACATAACTGGTATCCGTTGTCCAAAAAAATGTAGATGAAACTTCGTACGTCAGATCCAGTTGCCATCTAAAACAGATAAATCCACGGATGTACAATATGCATTTAAATCACTATTGATATAAATTGATTAATAAACTATAGAAAACTTTTTCCTTTCCCACATGGGAAAAATGTTAATATGTTGATAAAGTAATACACACTTTTAGTAAAGAAACCTCGGACCTTTATAAACATTGAGTATTGGTTCTAGCTTTGAAGACTGTTGAAAATGTAGCCAACTTGACCGTTTAAGGTCCCGCCTATCATGCCCTTAAATCTGCAATCACATGATAATTCAAACCAAGTTGAATTATTTCACAATGAAAACAAGCAAAATAGACCCAAACATATTGATATATAAGCTAAAGTGAGCCTTATCCCTGTCTAGGAGAAAGGGTGACCCGGACGTAATTGAATTCACAATTTGATAAAGCTTCTTAGGATCATTCCATCAATGAAGAGTATTTAGTTCTAGCACATCTTAGTCTAAAAAAGAATATTGTTGATTTTAACCAATTGGACTCGCATCGGCCTGAAATTTATCGAAATAGATTCAGTGGTCTTGGAGAAAAAATATAGAAAATGTGACATGTTTCCGAACGGATTAAGCATGGCGCACGACGGATAATGCACGACGACAGACAAAAGGACATTGCAATAGGTCAACTGTGACTTTAATCTCAATAACATTGGCATATCATTGTCATTACCTTAACAGCTAAAAGCTGGTGCCAGATCTAACAGGTGAGCTACTTTGGACACAATAACATAGCAATCACGTACTATAGTTCGATTGTATTATGTAGTTTCCAAAATAAATATGGAAAGTTTTGGATCAATAGACGCACACTAAAAACATGTATTTATGACAGGAATACAAACAAATATATAATACACACAACCAAAAGTCCCATAGTATACATGTGCATATACAAAACAGTATTTGGAATTTATTTACTAGATCTAACAAGCCTTAGAGAAAGTAGGGCGTGTTATGATTGAATGATTACTAGCCAGTATTCATGAAAAGAATTTACAAGGAAAAATCCATAGCCAAACGTTTCAACACGGTTTTTGGTATTCATTAACCTGGGCATACATATTCGATTACCAATATTTACACGCAGGGAGAGAATGGTCATCAAACTAATATAACAATTTAGATAAGAATCAAACTGAAGAAAAAACATTTTGACATTATAGAACTTAGAATATTTCTTACCTTAATAGAAAGTTGATTATTCTTTCTGAGATTATATGACACTTATACCAATGTATCAAAGACGAACAGCAGTGTAGAATCGTAGATGTTTGAAGATTGATTACGCCAAATCTAAGCACCGAAACTTCTAAAATGGTTATAAAGTCAAAAGCACGGTAAATATAAACATGTATACCTTAAGGTGTACCATGTACGACTTGCTCTACAAGCTTAAAAACTACAGAGCAGAGGGCCAGGTTTCCTAAAAAAAACACAGAGCAGAGGAACAGGGATCCTTAAAAATTACAGTGCAGAAGGACAGGGATCCTTTAACAAAAGCACAAAAGGGACAGGGATCCTTAAATAACACGGTGAAGAGGGACAGGGGTCCTTAAAATCAACAGTGCAGAGGGGCAGGGATCCTTAAAAACCGCAGTGCAGAGGGACAGGGATCCTTAAAATCCACAATGCAGAAGACCATGTATCCTTAAAAATACACGGTGCAGAGGGACAGGGATCCTTAAAAACACATTGCAAAGGGACAGGGATCCTTAGAAACCACAGTGCAGAGGTCAGGGATCCGTACAAATCACAATACAGAGGACAGGGATCCTTAAAAATTACAGTGCAGAAGGACAGGGATCCTTTAAAAAAAGGCGAAGGGGCAGGGATCCTTAAATAACACGGTGAAGAGGGACAGGGATCCTTAAAATCAACGGTGCAGAGGGACAGTGATCCTAACAAACCACAGTGCAGAGGGTCGGGGTTTCTTAAAAGCCACAATACAGAGGGACAGGATCCTTAAAAATCACAGTGCCGTAGGACAGGGATCCTTAAAAAACACATTTCAATGGGACAGGAATCCTTAAATAAATATGTTATATTTCATAGCCTAAATATTATTGCAACATATCAAACATTACTAGTGCATTATGACAATACAACCGATGTATTACAGAAGAAGCCATTCTCCGTAAAACCCCAAAAGGTGGATTTGATCACCAACGCCATAAACATATCATTCCATACTTACGACATTGAGGTCAGTAGACCGTCGCGCTGCCGCTTGTGCCAGCACATTACTTTGATATGTATTTGCCCTCATCATCTGACATTCTGCTAGCACTAGCCCTCAATCATTGGGCTGCAGCCTACGTAGGGCAGTCGCTAGTTACTGGCCGTAGGTTGGTGGTTTTTCTCCGGGAACTCCGGCTTTCCTCCCCCACCAGAACCTGGCACGTATTTAAATGACAATATATAGCTGTTAATAGGACGTAAAACACAAACCAACCAACATTATTTATAAAAGTTGAATTGTGTTTTTATAAACAAGCGACGGACTATTCTAGTCGATGAACTGCTCTACTGATCTAAGATGGATGCCACATCATCATTGAAGCTAGCCATTATTGAATTTCCTATCAGTTTCACTTTAAATGCAGTGTGTACAGGTCAACATGTATGTTTTATTATAACAGGAAATGTTTTTACTTCTTAAGAAATTAACGTTCAGTGTTTTACATGTCTGACATGGATTTCTTGTCAAAACAAATTGTTACGCAAGAAACTATCACCGAGTAAGAAAAATGTACATGTTGACCATCATATGGTAATATATATATATGTTGATTTGATAAAGGTGAAGGTCCTTTTCACGTCAGTAAAACCTCCGGCAGTCCTGCAGAGGCATGCTCTGGGAACATTATATGTATATTTAGTGACATTCTTGTTTCAGTTACTATCAAAACTCATTCATCCCTGAAGACACATTTGAACCCTTCCAATTCAAAGGTTGGAATAGTTCATTATACAATTTCAGGGGTGAATGAGTTAAGAAAATATAGTTTTGTGCAGGAAACAAAAGTGTCTTAATGCATCGATCCCTATAATCAGATTTAGACTCTTCCAAATCCATGAATTGGGCAGTCTATTGTTAAAATCTAGGGGTAACAATCAATACGGGAACCTTACTTATCTTTTATTGAGAACGATTTGATTTCATTTCTGCTAAACATCATTGCCTGTTTTTTTTAATTATAACTGACTTGATGATTTTTGCACACTGTACGCGAGTTGCCTGCAATACAGATTCTCCTTATTCTGTTGATTGTTTTCTTAAACAGTTTTGCCAGGTTTTTTCTATGCGAAAAAAATATATCAATGTACTTTGAAGATATGACAAGTTGTACTTATTGTGTTTTTCTTTTGTTATAACTGACTTGATGATTTTCGCACACTGTACTCAACTTGACCTGTGATTCCTAAAGTCATATTTAGACTCTTCCAAATCCATGAATCGGGGCAGTCTATTGTTAAAATCGAGTGGTTTCAAGTTCTACTTATTCTGTTGATTGTTTTGCCAGATTTTTTCTATGCGAAAAAAATATATCAATGTACTTTGAAGATATGTTACAATCACTATCAGGACCTCACATACAGCTCTCATGATAACGGCAAAGGGTTCCAATGTTCCATTTAATATTCCTGATGTAACAGCGAAGCGCTTTTATACACTACTCACATTTTTCACTTTGATTTTGAAAAAAAAACGATGTTAGAAAGGATATTATATTTTCCTTTCGTACTGTTATGGGCGAATATGTTAGCCTTCTTAATCGTCCTGTGGGGTGTGTTCAGTCAACCATAAAAGCGTGTGCATGCTTTTCCACGTGTTTACCCATTTCAAAAGCTAAGCTAGGCTAAGTAAGGTGTTGTTGAAATTGTAAAGGAAATCAATTTGATGAATATTCTTAAGGTGTTTTTGTTTTAATATTGCACAAAGACGAACCAGACAACGGTCAAATGACGGTGAAATGAATAGGGGCATTGGAATGCTGCAAGCTAGCAGGTCTCAACGTCAGGTTGCAGCAGACCTTGGGGTGTCTCAAAGCGTGGTGGCAAGAATGTGGAATTGTTTCCAAACTAACGGAAACCCTCTAGACGTCATGCTGGAGGTCGTTCTAGGGCTGTAACGCAGCGTCAAGACTGATTTTTCCTCACACAGGCACCGCATCACAGGTTCCAGACTGCCACATATTTACGAAATGACCTCCTAAATGCTTATTGTACCCGGGTAGCCACTCACACAGTTAAGAACCCTCTTCATGATGCTCGGGTTTAAGGTCACGTAGACCAGGAATATGAGTTCCCTTAACTACCTGCCATGTTAGGCACCGATCAGATTGGGCCCATCACAGCACTTTGACTCCTCAGGAATGGGAACCGGTTCTTTTTACTGACGAGTCCTGATTCTGTCTCGACGTCACCAACAGGTTCGTTAGAGTATGGAAATAACTTGGGGAGAGGTTCCACACCATCACTGAACCTCCGCCATATCGGTCATGTTCCACAACGTAATTGCGATTTTTGGAATTTTCGCATTCTGATGAATTAAAAGAACAATCAATTTTTCAATAATAAACTCAGTATACCCGGTTAACCAAATAAAATATTTATTTTCACATATGCCCAAAAATAAAAGTGATTCTTAGCAAGATATGAGTAGTATATAAACGAAGTGTATGGCCTACCTGGGGACAGGGGTATAGGGCTCTATTGGGGAACATTTAAATCTTAAAAAAATACTACCACACCACTAAAGGAGTTTGGCACAACAATGGTCTGGGGCGATCTTGGGCCAGAGGATTCAATGTTAGAAAAATGAAGCGTGTAGTCATCCCTGGGAGTATAAACGTAGACTGGCGGGCCAATTATGAGGTCAAATATTTGGCAAATTTTCTAAAGGGTGAAGCTGTTATATGGTGTGAGCAGCAAAAGGGACCTGGTCGAGTGTAGTGATACAGGGATTGTTAAAGGAGCCTGGCGGAGTGTAGTGGAACAGGGATTGTTATTGGGGCCTGGTCGAGTGTAGTGGGACAGTGATTGTTAAAGCGACCTCGTCGAGTGTAGTGATACAGGGATTGTTAAAGGGACCTGGCCGAGTGTAGTGGTACAGGGAGTGTTAAAGGAGCCTGGTGGAGTGTAGTGGAACAGGGATTGTTATTGGGGCCTGGTCGAGTGTAGTGGGACAGGGATTGTTAAAGGAGCCTGGTCGAGTGTAGTGGTACAGGGATTGTTAAAGGAGCCTGGTGGAGTGTAGTGGAACAGGGATTGTTATTGGGGCCTGGTCGAGTGTAGTGGGACAGGGATTGTTAAAGGGGCCTGGGCGAGTGTAGTGATACAGGGATTGTTAAAGGGGCCTGGCGGAGTGTAGTGGAACAGGGATTGTTAAAGGGACCTGGTCGAGTGTAAAGGAACGGATGGTTAAAGGGGCCTGGTCGAGTGTAGTGAGACAGGGATTGTTAAAGGAGCCTGGTCGATTGTAGTGGAAAAGGGATTGTAAAAGGGGCCTGGTCGAGTGTAGTGGTACAGGGATTGTTAAAGGGGCCTGGTGGAGTGTAGTGGAACAGGGATTGTTAAAGGGACCTGGCCGAGTGTAGTGGAACAGGGATTGTTAAAGGAACCTGGTCGAGTGTAGTGGAACAGGGATTGTTAAAGGGGCCTGGTCGAGTGTAGTGTAACAGGGATTGTTAAAGGGGCCTGGTCGAGTGTAGCGATACAGGGATTGTTAAAGGAGCCTGGCGGAGTGTAGTGGAACAGGGATTGTTAAAGGGGCCTGGTCGAGTGTAGTGGGACAGGGATTGTTAAAGGGGCCTGGTCGAGTGTAGTGATACAGGGATTGTTAAAGGAGCCTGGCGGAGTGTAGTGGAACAGGGATTGTTAAAGGGACCTGGCCGAGTGTAGTGGTACAGGGATTGTTAAAGGAGCCTGGTGGAGTGTAGTGGAACAGGGATTGTTAAAGGGACCTGGTCGAGTGTAAAGGAACGGATTGTTAAAGGGGCCTGGTCGAGTGTAGTGAGACAGGGATTGTTAAAGGAGCCTGGTCGATTGTAGTGGAAAAGGGATTGTAAAAGGGGCCTGGTCGAGTGTAGTGGTACAGGGATTGTTAAAGGGACATGGTCGAATGTAGTGGGACAGGGACTGGTCGGGTGTAGTGGTACAGGGATTTTTAAAGGAATATGGTCGAGTGTATTGGAACAAGGTTTGTTAAAAGGATCTGGTGGAGCGTTGTGGGACAGTGATACTTAAAAGGCCTGTTCGAGTGTAGTGGAACTGGGATTGTTAAAGGGACCTGGCCGAGTGTAGTGGAACAGGGATTGTTAAAGGAACCTGGTCGAGTGTAGTGGAACAGGGATTGTTAAATGGACCTGGTCGAGTGTAGTGGAACGGATCGTTAAAGGGGCCTGGTCGAGTGTAGTGAGACAGGGATTGTTAAAGAGACCTGGTCGCGTGTAGTGGAACAGGGATTGTTAAAGGGACCTTGTCGAATGTAGTGGACCAGGGATTGTTAAAGGAACCTAGTTGAGTGTAGTGGGACAGGGATTGTAAAAGAGGCCTTGTGAAGTGTTGTGGAACAGGGATTGTTAAAAGGACCTGTTCGAGTGTAGTTGGGCAGGGATTGTTAAAGGGACCTGGTCGAGTGTAGTGGAACAGGGATTGTTAAAGAGGCCTGATCGAGTTTAGTGAACAGGGATTGTCAAAGGAACTTGGTCCAGTGTAGTGAGACAGCGATTGTTAAAGGGACCTGGTCCAGTGTAGTGAGACAGGGATTGTTAAAGGGGCCTGGTTTAGTGTAGTGAGACAGGGATTGTTAAAGGGACCGGGTCCAGTGTAGTGGATCAGGGATTGCTAAAGGGACCGGGTCCAGTGTAGTGAGACAGGGATTGTTAAAGGGACCTGGTCCAGTGTAGTTGAAAAGGGATTGTTAAAGGGGCTTAACCTTATTTTGCTGTGTTCAAAGGTATACAGTTAAGTATTTGGGTAATAATAATCATTGTAACATTGAACTTTATTTATTGAGGATATTAAACCTGTTTAGCAGAGCTTATCTTCCACAGGGTCCTCTGTTAGTAAAAGGGTTAGTTAAAATCCTGATGTTATAGAAAATAAATGAGGATTCAAATTATCATCACAGTAAGCATATACATAAAAGTAGTTGAGCTTATTAAACTACTAGAATTAGACTAAATTTATATATACAATTTAAGGGTCATTTACAATTTTTATTAAAATTATCACAGAAGTAAAGATACACTATTCTAAGCTGAGCCAATATGGTATTCAGTAAAAGACCAAATGTCTAAATTACATATATGCTAATGTAGTTAAAACTAAAAATGGACATCATACACGCTAATATAGCGTAACTAAAACCATAAAAAAGCTATATTAAGAGGTTTTTTTTGATAGAAATAAAAAAGACTCAAACTGTTTTCCTAATGCTTCCAATCCTATTTTGTTTGAATTAAGGAAGGGAGGATGCACGTCGTGTTTCTACTGTTTAGCAGTTCCAGATGTGGTTCCCTTCCACCACCAACTGTTTTGAATAAAAGGAAGTACGATGTTTTAGTACTTGTATGAAGTTTTGGGAAGCTGATCTTGTACGGGTGTCATTAGAATAATTGAACTGTGTAGATAGGTGTTCAGGTACAAGATTATTGACACATTTATACACACTTACACCACTTTTAAATTTCAAATAATGGCGACTTGGAGTTTCCACTGGCAAGTCTCGTCAAATGAATTGTTGGCTACACTCAGTCGCGCGTCATCTTTTGCATTTTCCATTTTGACAAAGCAAGTTGGTCGCTTCTTTGCTGAAAACATTACATTTCCATTGGATAGCCGTACGATGTTGAATTTGACAGATTGTTCTGCTTGGGTCGTTCTAGAAGCTTCTAAGAGATCTCGACTCATCTTCCACGTAAAGTCATCATGTTCACAGAGATGTATTGTGAAATCTCGATTACCCTCAGATTTCATCAAAAATTTCGTTTCAGTATTTTCCACGAACGTTTTGACGCGAACGTATCTTGTCAGTGTGAACAGCTTTCTAGTATTAGGAGAACACCGAAACATCGCAAACCTGTCGTTAGAGGCAGACACAACATTCCAAGGACGATCTATCAAATCACTTAAGTCGGGACGCGATTCGAGTTGCTGACTGAGCTTTGGCCATGTTTTAAGATTGAACACGGCAGAAACACTTGCATCTTTCGCTTCAGGTTCATGAAGAACTTTCAAAATGGCTTCTCTGGTGTTTTTGAAATGTTCTCGTCTCTCAAGATAACTTTCTGTTATATTCTCGGGAACTCTGTTGTTGGCGAGTAATGTTACAAGGTAGTACATAACAAACTCTCTCAAACAGGACAGGACACAATACAGATCAATGTGGGCGATGATAGCATTGCACCTTTGTAACGTATCCTTTTCATTTTCCTCTGTCTCTTTCTTTTCCTTCTTCCCTTTCTGATTGGTTGCTTTTCCATTTTGAAGTTCCTTTATTTTGTATTCAAGCACTCCAAGGAACTCGGTACCCGTATCTCGCGGTACCTGACCTAGCACTATATCGATTTCATGGGCGTTGAGTTTACGTTGATGTATGCTCTTGAGATAGTGAAGAGAGGAAGATAAAGCACTATGCACTATGGATTTGGAACCGTTAATGGATATAATGCAATAATAATAGATATGTTACATTTTATAGCGTCCAACCTAATTCTAATTGTAAGATAGTGTATGCTTAATACAATCACGGTATCACAGAAGAAGCCATTCTCCGTAAACTTTACTCAAACCAAAACAGGTGGATTTGATCACCAACGCCATAATCATATTCTTCCACACTTACGACCTTGAGGTCAGTAGACCGTCGCGCTACCGCGTGTGCCAGCATGTTAAAAGTATCACGTTACATTGATAATGATCATAGAATGTGCTGAAGCTCCTATACTCCGTGTAACATTAAACAGAAATCGTCTCTGTAGTGGACGTACTGAGGTGTTATCATATATCTTAGGATAAATACGTTTTCACACGAAACTATCTATTTCACAAATATGAACGACATCTTTTATGCGACTCCCTATTGTAATCGTGCCGGAGTAACACCAGTAGTCGGGCAGGTGGCCCACATATTATCCATTGGGGTATCGATCCCACCGTGCCGTGGACAAAAACAAGGGAGCTAACAAAATTACAATAAAATGGAATCAATTACGTGTCGTAAACGATTTTATAATTGGAGATCATTTTCATATATTTCAGGAACGCTTTACCAATTGAGAGACCTGATCGCAAACGATCGACCGTGTCCACTTTCGCTACATCTTTCCTCCTTTTTTCCAAGTCTTCGCCCTCGCAGAAACAACTATTTACAACCCAAATTCAGGTATCCCATTGCACAGCGTTCTCCCAATGCATAATACAAGGGTTGACAAAGTCACCAATTTTGTATCAGAAGAAAAAGAAAATGTCAACGCCAGACCAGGGTTCGAACTCGGGACCCTCCGAGCTCTAGACGACGACGATCGACCCAGTCTAGTTCTAGCTACAAATCTGTTATCATCTTCTTTAGAAGAGATATTGCATTAGAGTTAAGGGGAATAGGGAAGTTGTAGTGACATGGTTCGTTCAGCATAATGATACAACCACAATATATTAAGATTTTCAAGTTGTGTATATGCAATAATGTTGTGATGGCGAGAAACGCGCGGCTATGACTTTCGTTATAGAAACGTAAATAAAGAGATAAAAACTGTAATACACTAGCTATACAACATCGGCGATGTCAAACTATAAATAGAGTAGCTGTTTACCTTACAACTGTGTGAGGAATTTCCCTGTATCCTGTAATCTGTCTGATGTTTGAAATGCTGCACAGATTTGTTGCGTTTTGTCGGATGAACCTTCTAGATCTACCCTACCTAAACCTCCCAAAGATTGTTTGAATAAATAGCGGTGTAAATAAATACTTCCACACCCCTCATCCTGCTCAGTGTAAAACCTGTTCTACAGGTTGTGATGCAAAGTCAAACAATCTATATTTAGGTACGCATTCATGCAATGCAAATGACAAACGCTTCCCATTTTCCTGTCACAACGACCGATTCGAAATAATGCTTTTTTGTTTTGTTTTTGTTTTGTTTTCTATAACCAGCTATTTTTTTTAAAGAACACATTTTTTTATTGCACAATTTTGACGTGACTGTTAATTCCTTTAGACTTCAACTGACGAGAAACCTCAAAATCGGTTGATGCTGATTGAAAGAGTATTTGTGTAGACGTTGCAATCGATCAGTCCAAATGTTACTTGGTAACGGGTTACAAAGCAGGACTGTTAGAAGATATCGGGTGGGACATTGATGGGTGAGTAAAAGTCTATTTTATATCATCCTCGTATTTACATTTCAGGTTGTCGACATATGTGTCATGTTATTCTTGAAAGACAATTGCAAGATGTTACCACACATAACACGTAACTTGTTAAGACATTTGTGACTGACCTCGTTTTGATTTGATTACACACTTTACCTGTGAACATGTTCACGTGACCTGGAAGCCTGAACGTTTCAGTGATGAATGGAGGGAACAAATTTACAGAAAAAACGTGTGTTGTAGTGCCTGTATTAAACCATTAAAGATTCATGTGCCACTGTAAAGAACTGTAACTACACATTGAAACTATTAAAGATTCATGTGCCCCTGTAAAGAACTGTAACTACACATTGAAACTATTAAAGATCCATGTGCCCCTGTACAGAACTGTAACTACACATTGAAACTATAAAAGATCAATGCGCCACTGTAAAGAACTGTAACTTGCCAATATGACTATAGCTTACAAGTTTCTGAATAGAAAACCATACCTTATGGGACACTTATAAATTATTTATAGTGAAATACAATGTAAACAAGATATATCAACAGCAGTTTTCTGAGCTTAAAAACATCAGCGGGGCTAGAGCAGGATTCGAACCACAGAACCTCAGAATTCGCTATGACCGATTGAGCCACCTATTGAACGGAAGTCCCTTCGCTCGATTGTGATACTGTTTGTATTCAGTTAACAGATCCCCGGGTAAAAAGTGAAATATAACCGTATATGTCTTCGTCAACGGTCAGCATTCTTTCATAGGTATTATACGTCATGAACGCGCTTGTTAAACATCTTATTTCACCCATTGAGGGAGCCTGAACCTAAGTGTTTATCTTAGATGGCCAATAAAACATCCTTGTCCGATTACTCTTGTAAGCAGAAATTAATACTCATGTTATTTTTCCATAGAGGTGTCGATCCCATTTTAATGTATACACGAACAAAAGGTCGAAGGCCACTAAGGTCTCGGCGCAATATCTGGAAAGAAAAATCATGAAGGTACTGTGTGCAGCACAATTTCGGTTGGGCATTTTTTGTCTTAAAAGTGTATCATTAATATCGAATTACTTCAAATATAATTATCATTTCCATGATGTGCTAAATCATTTACCATTACAACAGTTCATATCTTACTGACTATCGTTGAATCAGTTTATCATAGTGTAGTTCAATACAAAAGATATGAAAAGGGACTAGTGATTTGAATGCAAACCTTCAAAGCAATGTGGGAAGAAAATACTATAATGCTTCTTCAATGTGAGAAGAAAATATTATAATGCTTCTTATTTGTTTACAGTGAAGTATATCGACATGGCAACGGCTACAATCGAAGAAAACAAAGAACTTTCAGAGGCATTTGACGTTATTCAAGAATATCCAAGGAACCGCTGCGAGGAAAACGACGAGATCGTACAGGGATTAACAGCTTTATTTGAAAATTTCAACAAGGATCCGAAAGGAACACCCGAGATTATTCTTAAATCGGTCACTTTGGCACGAGTGTTTAGTTTCCCTAAGATTAGTGCTATGATTGCTCGATCTCTACTCGTGGTTTTTCGACATGTCTGGAAAACTTACTCGGATTTCTACAGTGTCCCTGAGCATGCCACACTTAGCAGTAACCTGAAGGCAAATGCCTTTGGCTTCCTGTGTAATCTAAAGGACTCTTTAAATTGTCTGATTTCGCTCAACGGAAACAACTCTGATCCAAAACGGATATCAACTGCATGTTCCGAAGTTCCACCATGTGGCACGGGAAACGAATTTTATGCTGAAGTGCAGTCTGAATTTCAGGAGTTGAAAAAACAGAAAAACAAAGAAAAAAGTGAAGAAACTGAAGCACGATATCAAGCAATAGTTGATCTCCTTGACTTGCACTGCAATCTTACAGTTTTGAAGGAATTCGTTTTTCTTTATGTAGTCATTCTATGCATTGCAAATGGAAATTCGCAGAATACTGCCGAGGGTTATTTTGAGGTAATTGAAGGTCAACGAAAAGACAGGGAAACAACCTTGAATATCCTTTTTGAACCAGAAGCTGAATTCGCTGGTGTTTCAGCTGTTTTTATGAACGGCGATTGGCCCATGCTTCAAATGCATACTGAAAAAAGACTTTCGTGTCTGCACAAATACTTTAACAGCTTAGCTGGGAAGAAGGTAAAAATAGTTTCTTCTGAGGACGATACATTTGCAATGTTTCGACATCCATCAGAAAAGACCGTACCGTTTACACAGAAGAAATATATCCGCATATTCAACGACAAACACAGCAAATTTATAATGGAAAAAGAATTCGCATTGAACAAAACTTACTTTGTGATCCGCCTGGATGCTGAAAGAGAACTTACTTTAAAGATCAACGACAGTTCGAAAGGAAATCTGATAACTGACAAACGACTGCCGAGTGCTAGCGGCCAGTTCAACCTCGTGCGCTTGGCGAATGGCAACATAATGATTTCATGCATGAAACATCCTACACGTTTTGTCACCATGACTAGTGCAAAAGACGGCGACCGTCTTGAAGCAAAGAACATCGGAGCTGGATTAAACAGTCAGTGGCATATTGTCAATTGCAAAGTTTATCTCGACACTTAAATCGATTTAACATGATCAACCAGATATTTAAAATTCCTTCATGGCGGTGTTTTGAAGTAGAATACAATACCATCAGAGTCACAAGGTAAAGATGTCGAATCGAATCAGGTTTACATCTTCAGACAGCCTTCACAGTGTGTATCATAAAACATCTGGAAAATGACGACTTTAATTGCTTACGGAATCTCAGTGTGAATCAGTATGCTTGTATCTTCGTTCAGTGGACTAGATGGACATTAAGTATAAGCGACGCCGATTTGTTCGTTTTAAGATCCCTATTTCACAGCAGAGAAAACGCTAGAGAGATCGACGTCAGTTTTTGGACACACAGTAACCTCCCCTTAACTTGATTTTAAGTGGAGTTGTCAACGGTTAACCGGTTACTCGGTCGGAAGACCACGATACGGTTAACAAAAGCATTAACCGAATAATCGGACATTCATTTACCCCCTTGAGGAGCGCTATGTCTCCCTTGCTTAGACTTACAAAACTATCTATAGATGCTATCAAAGTCGGATAGTTTGTTATAAATACCAGTATTCGTGCATTCATGTCTGGGTTGTTTTTGTACTCTATTGTAAATATTGACAAAGAGGTGCTGACGACGCCATACAAAACTGAACAGATTTTGAAAGTAAGCGAGAACACAAAGATATGACAATGATATATCAACTGTTAGAGGTTAAATGCGCTTTTACATGCAATATGTACACACTTGAATGCGCAAGTATGTCTTAAAACGTTTGCCGATTAAATTGTGTTGTACAGAACAATATAGCCACACATTATCAGTGCAGATAATTATTAATCAATCCCGTCTTACTGTATTTCAACATTTGTTGTCCATGAAATATACTTACTGAGGATACATGAAACTATTTCCTGCGTTTAGCTTGAAAATGTGAGGAAACTTTCCTGCTAATTAATATAAACATGTATGTTTATGGTGTAAAGACGTTTAAGATAGAACATTTGCTAAACATATAATGTGTTCATTGTTGTTTATTGTTTGAAAACCGAATTGACTGATTAACTGATTACTTGTTCGGCAGATTGTTCGAGTGACCGGTTTCCAAAATTAGACCGGTTTGACAACCCTAGTTTTAATATACAACCGTATCAAAATTGGGCCCGAGTACTAGCTGTATTTTTACACCAGCAATATAGGGATGCTTAAACACGGTCTAAATAATGAGAGTTCCTGATCGGTGGTATATGTAACAACAATTGTCGACTGGAAAAAAAAAGCTTTAATAATGCACATTTTTTTTTTTTTGCATAAGAGTAAACAATACATTTCCCAAACAATATTTCTTGTCGTGTTGTTTATAGGCGTTATAATGACACATCATGCAAAACATATCAAAGTTTAAATTTATACACAATGTACGAATCAGACATGTCGCAACGTTTCAAGGCCGACTGGTCCCTTTGTCAAGCCATGAGTCTTAGAGTGACATTGTTTGTGCATAAAGTAAAGCGTCGATAAAACTTGAGGATTTACTTTAAAATGTTTCAATTACGTTGTGGTTTAATTTCGTGGTGTACGTACCTTGGCAAATTGATTGGTATTAAATGTCGTGGAAGAAATATCTTTAAACTATAAGTTATTACCATATAATAATCGTGTCAGTAAAACAATGAGATATGTAAGACAGAACACATAGAAAGGTGTACAGATAAGTTCAGGTGAGATGTGTTTTTGCGATAAGGATTGATCAAATCCGCCACGCTCGATCGGTTACATACAATTGCATACAAAGACACAATATACTTGAAGTAGACTGACATACGTGTACCCTATCAATGCACAGTGGACAATCTAGCAACGAAGAACCGTCTATTTTGCAAATAACTCGCGTTGCTTGAACTTCCGTTATAATTACCTGGACACAAATACTTCAACAATTGGATATTCAGACAAAAAGTTGCCCAATTGATTTTCCGTGTAAAAATCTTGATCACCACACGGCAAAAGTCAATATTGCTTCTTTGAAGGCTATCTTGTCCAAAAAGTAAAGGGAGAGATTTGTATCCGGACACCGAATGACATCCCCACTTTTTCGAACTATTTCCTGAATTATGTTATAAGAGTATAGGAAAGCGCCACATACCTTCTCACACGACGCATTTGTGTCCAGCTAATTGTAACTGAATCTTAGCTTTGCTTATCTATTGCTGGCACCTTTGAACAAAGTATTCATGGACATTTTCGATGGCGCTATGTCCATCATCCATTCGTCCTTCTTGTATTAACTTTTTATTTTATCTTTCCCGTCGTGAATAAACACGAGGCCAAGATTAACCAGGATTAATTGGTGATTAACTAATGATTAACTTTTAAAATCATTAAATGAATTAAAGTGTCTGGAGTCATAACAATAAGCTTAATTCATATTGCGGGAAAGAGCAATCAAGTTTTTTTAAAATAGATAACATTGGGTATTTAGGGTCACAGGGTCAAATGTGTTAAAACATGAAAATAATTAACATCTGAATGACAATTGCACCGATGGTCATGCCTTTTGACATACAAAATGCTGATGCACAAAATAAAAACATATAAAATATTTGCTTAATCAGTCAAAGAATTTAGGGAAATAATCTGTCGTCTTCTGGGGATTCATATCTCCTAGATTAAGTTGGCTTGAACTTTGCCGGGAGGGGAAACTACCACGTTTGTTTATAATCTTTGATGATCATATCGACTACATTTCACTAATACATCGCTGGCTCAATTGAACGAAGTACTAGTGGTCTTTCCCGTTGGCGCTATGTCTGTTATCCATTCATTCATCTGACATAAACTTGTTTTCTATAAACTTTCCCTTCTGAATAAACAACAGGCCAAGTTTTCACTGGCGATTAACTAATGATTAACTTTTAAGGTTGCAGAAGTCAAATTGATAAAAAAGATAGTGTCTTTAATATATAAGGTCTACTGCATTGGTGGACTTTTATCAATATTATCATATCATTCCATTTAGCTTAACTAATATTGAGGGAAAGAGTAATCAAGTTTATTGAAATAGATAACCTTGACCTATTTACAGGGTACTGAGGTCAAATGTGTTAAAACATTGATTAGAACAAACATGAATGACAAAGTCAACCGTGGTCATGCTTTATTGTCTTCGGAATGCTGATGATCTGAAGATTTGAAGGCCTTTAATATTTGCTCAATCACTCAGGTAATTGGGGAAAATATTTGTTGTAGTCATCTAGAGATTAATATCTCCTAGAATAAGTTGGCTTGACTTTTTTTTGGAGGATAAACTAACAAGTTTGTTAACATAACCTTGGTCACTGGCAAGGTCGCGGTGGTCAAATGTATAAAAGGGAAACTGACTTTGCAAACGAACCATATGACCTAGAGTAATGATATTTGTCCCATGGTTTGTTACAGGAGCCATTGGATCATCCCGAATTTGCTCTTGCGATCACATTAGTCAAATGCGTGTAAACTCTTTCAACGATTCCTTTTGCAAAGATGAAATAATAACAACAATATTCGTATTCTGTTTCCATCCATTTATTTTAGAATCCAATAGCACAATAAACCAAACGTAAAACAAAGACTAATAACTGGTAGCAAATATATATACAACAGCATTTGTTTATATTCTAGTTGAACGAGATCTCCCTAACCGTGATGGTCTACGTTATCTCAATTGAGAGGTGACACGTTGTTAATTGACACACTTTATTCATTATCATTGAATTGAATTTAAGTAGTACTATTCTAATTAAGGGGATTTACGCGAATCTCCATCCTTAAGACCAATTTGGAGTTTCATCTGTTTGGGGTAGTTGCATGGTTCTTAATATACTCACTTTATAAGTAATTATTAATTGGAATTTAACTAGTGACCATCTAATCTTTTTACGCACAGCTTTTAGACAAATTTAGAGTTTCATCTTTTCGGCCTCTACCAGTATCTATGTGTCCTACAAGTACGACACAGCTGTATTGTGCAGCGTGATTCATTTTAGCTTGCTATATCATTTAACAACATTTTAGCATGCTATATCATTTAACTGCATTTTACCCAGCTAAATCATTTAACTACATTTTAGCTTGCTATATCATTTAACTACTTTTAAGCTTGCTATATCATTTACCTACATTTTAGCATGCTATATCATTTAACTACATTTTAGCATACTATATCATTTAACTGCATTTTACCAAGCTAAATCATTTAACTACATTTTAGCATGCTATATTATTTAACTACATTTTAGCATACTATATCATTTAACTACATTTTAGCTTGCTATATCATTTAACTACATTTTAGTATGCTATATCATTTAACTACATTTTAGCATGCTATATCATTTAACTGCATTTTAGCTTGCTATATCATTAAACTACATTTTAGCAAGCTATATCATTTAACTATATTTTAGCATACTATATCATTTAACTACATTTTAACATGCTATATCATTTGACTGCATTTTAGCAAGCTATATCATTTAACAACATTTTAGCATGCCATATCATTTTACTGCATTTTACCAAGCTATATCATTTAACTACATTTTACCAAGCTATATCATTTAACTACTTTTAAGCTTGCTATATCATTTGACTACATTTTAGCATGCTATATCATTTAACTACATTTTACTATGCTATATCATTTAACTACATTTGAGCTTGCTTCATCATTTAACGACATTTAAGCTTCGTATATCATTTGACTACATTTAAGCTTGCTATATCATTTAACTACATTTTAGCATGCTATATCATTAAACTACATTTTAGCTTGCTTCATCATTTAACGACATTTAAGCATGCTATATCATTTAACTACATTTTAGCTTGCTATATCATTTAACTACATTTAAGCTTGGTATATCATTTAACTACATTTTAGCATGTTATATCACTTAACTTCATTTTAGCAGATTATATCACTTAACTACATTTTAGCATGCTATATCATTTAACTACTTTTTAGCATACTATATCATTTAACTACATTTGAGCTTGCTTCATCATTTAACTACATTTAAGCTTGGTATATCATTTGACTACATTTAAGCTTGCTATATCATTTAACTACATTTTAGCATGCTATATCATTTTACTACATTTTAGCTTGCTATATCATTAAACTTCATTTTAGCATGCTATATCATTTAACTACATTTTAAAGGTGCTTTCCCATATGCATGTCTTTGAACAGTATATAACAGTGTTAAGTTTATAGTAACAAGACATATGATATCTTTGTATGAGTAACAAGTGACGATACCAGAATAGAAATTGCTGAAAGGTGTATTGAGACATGGACATAATCATCTATGAAGTCCAGATCAATGTTTTCTGCCCTATAGGTGCTAGAGTAAGGGACAGGAAAACCTTCGTTAAAATCCCCTTTCGCCTGTCACTGTCCTGGCACAAGGGTCAAGTGTTACAATCAATAAACAGGTATTGGAACAGTAGGTTTTTTAAAGCCGGTTAAAAATTGAACTCAAATAAATGACGTTTGTAACGTTTGAGTTCACATGAGAAAATCATATTTTAATCTTCATCAAAAACCATAAAGTATTGTTATACTGGTTAGGATTAAGTGTTAGCACTTGACCGGTTTGAAATGTTAATGAGGTGAGATCTTTTGTGTAAACAGAGGATTGAAACAGTTCCATTGGACATCTTGTTTGCTTACTTTGTCTAAAGGAAGTTATTTGTACCAACGAAAAATCCTCTTTCATATGTTCGTTCATCGCTTGTCTGTCTGTTTATCGACATTTTCCTTAAAAAGACAAATTGAGAACCGAAATATCAACGGTAAAGATATAATTTATGGTCCTTTACCTTTATATACATTGTTTAGTCAATGGGTTGCCTAAACTAAAACTCACTACTTCGGACATATATCTATATCATATGACATGATATTTGGCCTTTTGCTTCTTAGAATTGCCATCAATGATGTTTCAGTAGATCAGTTAAAAACCACACATTATATGTCAATAGAGAACAAATACAAAAACCTTTTTAAGAATACAGGCATTGAGTCATGCATAGTATGTGTGTTGCTGGGATGAAATTGTATCAAACCTGTGATCACAAAACTGTTTTTAAAACACATCAATGTCAAAAGATTGAAGTGTTTTAGAACTTCAATCATTTTATCTAGACGGAGATGCAAAGGGTTATATATTTTATGAAACAAAAGAAAAAAATGCTCAATTCCACCGATGTCAAATTCTATCCAAGATATTAGCTGCAAGAATGTTATCGCAAATCAACCTCAAGTGAAGAAGTTTTGCTTCGAAACAAAAAGCTGTCTCCAGTTAGTCGATAATTTTCCATTGACAATTCTTGTCAAATCCGTTGTTTGCTACACCCAGTCGCGCGTCATCTTTTGCATTTTCCATTTTGATGAAGCAAGTCGGCCGCTTTTGTGATGAAAACATAACATTTCCGTTTGATAGCCGAACGATATTGAAATAATCACCCTTGCTTGATGGTCTCTCAATAGAAACCTCTAGTTGATCTGAACTTATCTTCCACATCATGTTTTGATGCCCACTGAGATATATTTTGAAATCTTGATCACCCTCAGAATGTAACACAAATTTCGTTTCAATGTTTGCCATGACGCGAACGTATCTCGTCTGCGTGAATAGCTTTCTAACATTAGGATCATATCTAAACATGGCGAACTCTTTCTTAGCCGCAGAAATGATATGTAGTGGACGATCAAGCAAGTCACACAGGTCGAGACGCGATCCGAGTTGATGACGAAGCTTTGACCATTTTTTCGGAAGGAAAACGGCAGCCACACTTGCATACTTCGCTTCTGGTTCATAAAGAACTTTCAAAAGAGCTTCTCTGTTGTTTTTGAATTTTTGTAGTCTCTCAAGGTAACTCTTTGTTATATTCTCAGAAACTCTGTTGTTTGCAAAGACTGTTACAAAGTAAAACAAAACAAACTCTCTCAAACAGGACAGAACACAATAAAGATCAATGAGGGCGATGATAGCATTGCATCTTTGTAACGTATGCTCTTCCTGTTCCTCTTCTTTCTCTCCTGTCTTCCTATCTTCCTCCTCTGTCTTGTTTCCTGCTATCTTATCAGTCGTTTGGTCTTCCGTCTCTCTTGTGTTCTTTTCTTTCTCGCCTCTTTGAAGGTCATTTATTGTTTGTTCAAGTTCTGCAAAAAACTCGTCGCCCGTATTCCGCGGTACCTGACTTTGCAGTATATCGATTTCATGATCGTTGAGATTTCGTGTCTGTATCCTCTGGAGGTAGCGAATGGAGGAAGATAAAGCACTTTGTACGGCAAATGCTTTTCTCTGAATGTTAACGGCTATGTATGTCTGCTGTTCAAAGACTTTTATTTTGGATGACTTGTTGGACAGGACCCCAAACAAAAACAAAAATCCTTTAATTAAAAAAGATGCTATGGAGAGCGGAGCACCAGCAACAGGCACACATCCACCTATCAAGTCAAGAACATCTGCTAAGAGATCAAAAATCAATTCTGGAGTGACAGCTTCACGGAGACGTTGTTTCAATTGATCTACAAGTGTTTTATCTACAGGTTTTACCGTCTCATATTTCTTTAGATGATCCACACATTGCTGGAATGCATTGCTTTGAAGAATTTTGTTTAATTCTTGCTTGTCATTTCCAGTTGCCATCTAAAATAGATTAATGCAATGATGTACAATATAAATTGTAAGTCACTTTTGACATATCTGTCGCCTGAAACCAAAACTAAATAATGTGTCATTGGACTATTTCCCTTGTCAAAGCTAGTGCATACTCAGTTAAAAAAAATCGATTTGAAAAGATTCGCAAAATATTCATCAAGTTCAGAACGTTCAATCATAAGTCGAAGAAGTCAAGATAGATTCACAAATATAAAAATGTACTAAGGACCAACAGTATGTGTCCAGTATGTAATCTTAATATTGACAAAAAATGTATATGTTCATAGATGAGTGAGGATATATGTTTTACAGTTAAACCCTCGAACTCAGTTCTAACAGAGTTCGTACATATTCTTTGTAAAGTTACCCCGGATTAGTCGAACCGCTATTCCTCGAATACCCCGTATTTCTCGGTCAAACGTTTGTCCCCGAATTTCCATGGTCATAATATTAATCCTTTCTATTCGTCGAACAGGTGTGATCACCTGTCGAGCCTTACAGATAATTTACCTATGTATCACACTGAAACTGCCGTGGACATGTCTCGAGGCACAGTCTGCCGTCCACGCGTATTATGCTTACAGGTGTCGGCTGGACGTCCGATAGTTAGAGGATTAATGGCAGTATCATTAAGTAATCGTACCGTTACTCTGTTGTAGCTGCATAAGCCTGTCATTTTGTGTGCGTATTTATTTTCCAGATGATGTTTTGACACCGATGATTTGGCGGAAGTGTTAATTCATTGTAGAATCATATTTCGGCATGACAATATTAAGCAATATTAAAATAATACGCCGTGATTGTTAATTTCGTTACCAATCAGCATTATGATAACAGGGATTCAATATCTTCTTGATTTTAAAATGATCGAATAGTTCCTCTAGTTTTGATATTTTGAAAAACCAACGTAGTCGATTACAGTAAGGTGGACTATGTCAAATCGACAAATACGTTACACATGCAGGTTTTTAAATTTTATTTACTTTTTAATGCCGGTGGCTGAATGTTTTCATTGTTTAGCTATTTTAAATCTCATCAAAAGTTGTCATCTTGATTAAACTTCTTTTACTATCCGCGGTATTTGCAGTGCTCGCACTGTCTGTTGTCCCACCTGATAAAAACAGACATTGTCGGAAGAACATCGGATTCGTCGGATACCATGTACTTCTCGCACTATTGATCTGGACCCTACGAGTTCGAGTTAGCGCGGTTTTATTGTATGTGAATCACCAATTATGACGTGCCAAAATGTTTGCATTGGATACATATTTGTTTCTGGTAAATCCAGATCTGGTTTGAGAAGTATTTAGTTGCATTGTAGAAATGGAAATTTGAACAAAGTTGTATTGAATTATGTTTGCATTTAAATCGAGTCTAGTGTTGAATTGTATTGAGTGGTTGTATTAAATAAACCGACTCCCGGACCATGCTGAAGGGGGAATTATTCTAATACCAACTAAAATTCAGCTATCGTATCGTTTCCTTGTACGTCGTAGAAACTTAGAAGCATTGAGCCTAAAATAACAATGAGACAGTATGGCGCTACCTTTCTATCTGATCTAAAATAACCGATCACCTTATGGATGAATGGGCACAATTAACCAGCATTTACAAATGGACTTCACAAGGAATAGTTTTTGTAATCGTGTTCCAATATATACACCCTAGGATAGCTAGTCTGTAATAATTTGGATTTTAAATATCAAACTGAAATATATAACTTTTTAGTTTAGTTGAATATTGTGTGTTAACATAATCATCTTTAAAATATTAGATATATTAATATAAACAGAATATCTCTTACCTTAAAGGGATATGATGATCTAATTCTAAATGATGTGATCCTTATTGCAGGCTGTAGAGCTTTTAATGACGAAAATTCTCAATACCTTACCGGGTACATTGTAACACTGGCTGTAATACAGTATTGACATTTAAACTAGTTAGACTTCGTTTTGTATACACCATTTCATATGCGCTGTAATAAGAGCGCTTCCCGTTTTCTGGTTATCTCGACTAATTCGATAGTGATCCATTCGTTTTTAGTTCATTCTTTTTGAGGGTAATACCTGTTTTATTACCTAGCCAAAATGTCTTGATTGTTTTGGAATGTATTGAATAGCAACAATTGATATCAATTAATTGGACCTGAACAAGACAACTTTTACATGTATTAGTGTAAACGTTTTCATCGTTCAAACCAGTTAAATAGATGCCAAACAAATAACTTGTCGGAGCCATTTTCCTTGTAGGAGATCCGTGGGACTGTCGTTATCTCGCAGAGCATTTGGTAAGTAAAATTCTATGATATAGTGGTTAGAATAAAGTTTGTTATAATTTGAAATATACTTTTGGAAATATATGTAGCGAGAGTTTAACAATGCCATTCGTAACTGACCTCATAAACAGAACTGTTGAACAGTACAGCAATTCGAATATTGAAGTACCCGAGTGTTTTCGCCAACTCAGGATCTCCATGTAGGTAAAGTCACTGAAACAAAAATAATTAAATTAATTAGCATTCTAGCCGCGGTAATCCAATCTCTAATGTCTCCCGTTCATATAACAGCCATCGTATATCCATGAAAACACGTAAATACTCTTAATACCTTCCATCCTAAGGTAATCCAGGTAATTTTCTCTTCGAAAGTTTGTTTACCACCGTCGAACATAATAGATACACAAGCCACATTCATATACAGTATATATTTCATCCAACCTACCAACTTCGTTCCCAGTAGATAATTTATTCACATTGTAGATAAAACTGTCACCATTTGATAATAGCCACCTTATTTTTATATCGATAATCCAGCCACCTTCTTCTCCGGTAGACAATCTAGCAACCACTGTTCCATCGTTAGATAATAAACCATCCTTGTTAACAGTAAAAGATAGAGCAATCCTCATTCCCAGTGAATGCGCCATCCACTTTCAGTCTCTGCAAATGATCCTCCGATTTTAGATTCCTGCAAAAGTGACTGAAATATGATATACTTCTATTTATTATATTTATTATGTTTAATAGTATAACAATATTTTAATTTTACGTGATGAATAGAATCACTGACACTATGCAATATGATACATATCGATTTATTATATTATGTATAATAGTATAAAGATATTTTTGTTTCATTTAATTCTATGTGATGACAAGAATCATTGACAGTGTGATTCGAATATTTTTCTGGGCAGCTTTAACATTTATAACACATTATTTCAAGAATAATTCTTCAGGCAAATAACGGTTTATTTTCAGTGTACCTAACTGTTTGTGATCTGTTTACAGGAAAAATACACAGAGTATGGCTACAACCGAAACCAAGCAACAAAATGAAATCTTTGATGAAGCACTTGGATTCATACGAAAATATCCCATGAAGTTGTTTGAGGAAGTCGAAAGAACAGTGCAGGGATTAGATATTTCATTAGTCAATCTAAAAAAGGATTCAAAAACAGCATATTCAGCTCTTCCCGAAACTGTGAGTTTGGCACGAGTATTTGGTTTGCCTAATATTAGTGCTAAAATTGCCGAATCTCTTCTTGTTGTGTTTCGACACGTTGGGAAAACTTACTCTGCTACAGAGGCATCGGCACATCAGAGTTCAATTCCGAACGACATCCGCGAAACGGCCACTGGCGTACTGTCTAAACTGCAAGAATCCGTACGCACTTTAGTGACACTCAGTGAAATTAATCCTGATCCAAAGACAATATCAACTGCTTGTTCCGAAGTTCCACTTACTGGCAACGGCAGTGAGGTTTTCATCGAACTGAAGTCTGCAATCAAGCGGTTGATAGAACAAGAAGACACTGGAGCATGCGAAGCTACTGAAGTGCGATTCAAAGGCATAGTTGATTGCCATGATTTGTACTACACTCTTGACAGTTTGTGGGAATTCGTTTTGCATTACATTGTTATTCTTTGCATTGCACAGGGTAAATCACAGAGTACTGCGGAAGGATATTTTGAAGTCATTGAAGGTCAACGTTTGGATAGGGAATCTCAATCAAAGATTCTCTTCAAACCAGAAGCTGAATTTGCCGGTGTCGCTGCTGTGTTCAGCAACGGCAACTGGCCAATGCTTAAAAAGTACACCGAAAGGAGTCTTTCGTTTCAACTTGAATACTTCAAAAGCTTAAACGGGAGAAAGGTGAAACTAGTCTCCTGTGGAAATACAAATGAAACGTTTGCTATGTTTCGACATCCGCCAGAAAAAACCTTACCATTTACACAGAAGAGGTACGTACGAGTATCGAAGGAAAATCACACAATCTTTTACCTAGACTTGATAGAGGAAACTTACTTTGTGATTCGCTTGGACGCCCACAGAGTGTTGACATTAAAAGTCAATCGGAAAGGGTATCTTGTCACTGAAAAACCTGGCAAATATGACAAAACTGCTGAAAAAGGTCAGTTTAACCTGGTGCGTTTGAAAAAGGACATCGTTATGATTTCATGCAGGCATTATCCCACATGCTTCGTCACAATGAAATGTGCTGAAGAAGACGCATGCCTTGAAACAAAGAACATCGGAGCTGGTAATAACAGTCAGTGGAAATTGACAGTGCTAGATTAAGGCAACGCAAAAAAGCAACGAAATACATATGTTTCTCCGTATCGAATTCTAATACCATTTAACACTAGGGATATTTGTTTTTAATTTCACATTATGCTTTGTGAGTTCATTGTCAAATTGTGACGTTTTATGCTTGTGCACTTATTGGAAATGTTAAATCGTGTGTCTGTAAAGAGAAAGGGTTTAGCGTGTAATCCATATTCTCAAAACCTCTATTTAGAAACCACCTGAGATAAAAGAATACTTCAAAAGGTCTATTTATTTTCATGTTTACCACTTGCAATGAGTGACCACTCAGTGGACTTTCAAAATGTGGTCTTTTCATTTAGCTTTGACTATATATAACGAATATCAGATGGCTTCCCGTTGATTTCATATATAACCCGCGTATGGGAGAATACCGATAATTTTCACGAGTGCGAGTCATTTTAGAAAATGAAACTTACCGTTCTGATTGGCCAATAGAATATAGGACCATTTATCATCAAATGTGAAGACATTTAACATAATGTATATTTTCACTATCGCTAATATATTCATTTTTACTTAATTTCTGATGTTTCACCCTATCATATATAAATAGTTTTGAAAAGCTTGATGTATTGTTACTATGGACTCCTTAATATTGTAGTTTACAGAGTCATGACTTTTATTTTGTTTTAATATAGAAACACATTTTTTTATTTTCTTTTTTATTGTTTTTCATGTTTTATATCTCTTATCCTTTTATCAAATATATTGTATATGCTATGAATTTTGATTTTAGTTAATTGATTACATGACAATTTATTTATGCAATCACTTAAAATGGAAAATATTCATTTTTCGATGAGATAATTTGAAAATACTTTTGATCATAGGAGAATAATGTCCTTACCATAAAAAAACATTATGAATTGCTAACCTCATGTTTAATATTACTTGTTTAAATTGTGTGGCATGGGGCCTGATAGATACAACTTGTAGGTAGAGGCTTCCCAATCACTCTTGTATGTTTCCCATCCTTAAGCACATTTGGAATTTCAGTATCACTTATTAACTACTTGAAGTATTGGAGGTAATAGATATTGCAGACTTTTACTGATTTTGACTTGATACAGACTTTTAACTAGTAAACCATTCATAGCTCTGCTCATTTTATATAATGTTGTGCCATTGTTTGAAGCGTTTTTGGTTGTACATTTTGTTTTTCGGAATCACATAAAAATATATATTTTTTTTATTTTTTTTTTGAATTTGTCAGTAAGCGAATCTCTGGTTTAAGAAAAAAAAAGACCGATTATGCTTTAATCAATACTCTCAAAAGTTGTTTTTTAGAATTTTGTTCATTGTGTTGGCATGTGATGTGCCCAGGTATTCATTAAACTTCTGACGTAATAATTAACACGTATCACCCGCAAGGTGGTGAGTACAATGACTTTAATTATGTTATGATGAAAGCTAAGGGTACAGAGTGAATTTGTGGACCAATAGTTTAACCCTTGGATTTTGAAGATGGCTAGTAACGTAGAGAAATAGATTTGGAAGTGTATCAAAACGCAACAAAACCACCCATATTTCATATTGACTATATTTCATTAATGATTTGCTGGCAGACCTGACTGATTCGGCACAGTGTGGCTGAGTATGTTGCTTTCAGAGGGTTATTTACACTGTTTACTTGACAAACGACATTCGACAGCTCGCAAAATAATTTATAACTTCCTGTTTGTGTTAAAACAAATTTGCCTTTATTATGCAAACCTACCTGATGAATCCTATCCCGAATGTATGTATGTATACTCAAATGTTCGGATGTATTTATTGTATATTAGACATGTATGCAAGCTGAGTAAGGAATGTTTCCAGATGATGGATTTTGGAAAAAAATCATTGACACATCTTGACATGTTTTCCCTTAAGAAATAATTCGATAGTGTTAGATTTACCAGATATATGGAATGGCAAGACAGGTTACTTCAGACATAATTACATTAGTTAAACAAACACGAATAAAATACCGATTGTTTTACAACGTCTCCGAAACAAATACTGAACGTAATGAATGAATGGACGCAATCAGCCAGCATTTACAAGCAAGGAATACAAAGCCTAAACGTTAAACTGATCACAAACCAGATAATTTTTTCATTCGTTTGTTCAATTTATACACTCTGGGAGGGGGTTGTTATCTTGCATAGAGACTGTGCATATTCTAAATTTTGAAGTGTGTTCAGGTCATATTATGTTAACTGACATGAAATATAAAAATAACAAAGGACACAAATGACCTGTCGTGTTGACCTTTCCAACGAATACTAGGTTTGGGAATTCCGACCTGTTCGTTGATATTCAGGTTTATACATTATATACATAATGAGTCCGGTCGTCAGCAATTTTATCAGCTTCACAAGTGTCTAAATGCAATATCTACTAACTTGTCAGATTGCAATCAGCATATTGACGTAATAGCCCCCGAGTTCATGCATTCCCTTGCGACATGACGTTATGACATTTGGAGGGCAGATGACAGTCAATGAAAACGCATCATGGAGTTATTTGAATAAAAAATAAATAACACGATAATAAATACCCGGATAACAAAACAATAACTATTACAAATTTCGATAACGACTACTACATTTAAAAAAAAAAAGGTAAAACACATTTGCTGACCTCCCGTTTTCTGCAATATTTTTAAACATGCTTTTATTCATCAGAATGTTACAAATTAACAATTGGTGTCCTCTCGTGGAGGGGCTTTCTCACTATCTATCAGGAGTACCTTACACGAATTACAGACGTTTCCAGGGTTTTCCCCAGGCCATTTAGCTGATACGGCTCCGTATCAGCTTCAGTTTGAAATCCTCCCTGCCGTATCAGCTTATTGACCCGTATCACCTTAGACTATGAACCGTATCACCTTGTTTAGTACTGAAGGTGGTCTTTTTATACAAGAAATTGACACTGATTAAATCACAAGGCTGACCCAAGTCCAGCAAATGACCCCACTGGTCAGTTGCACGATAGGCGTATTGCCACAGGGGGCCTGTAATTAGTGGGGAGGGGAAGCGGACGACAAGCCCACAGGTGTCCGGCAAGCGTGCTCACTGCAACCATACACCTCACTCTTTTTCAGGGTTGTTACCATACACCTCACTATATTTTAGGGATAACAAATCCCTCACTATCTTTAAGAGCTATCGTACACCGTATTATCTTTCAGGGCTTCCACACACATACCTCTGTTTTAAGGCTTCAATACCCCTCACTCTCATTCAGGGCTTTCACGCACCTTCCTCTCTTCCAGAACTACTATATACCTCACTCTCTTTCAGGGATACCATACAACTCACTTTCCTTTAGGGCGACCATACACCTCACTCTTTTTTAGGGCTACTATAAACCCCACTCTGTTTTGGAGCTACCATACACCTCCCTCTCATGCAGGGCTTCTATACACCTCTCTCTTCTTCAAAATTACCATACACCTCACTCTCTTTCAGGGCTACCATACACTTCACTCTCTTTTCGGGATACCACATATCACTCTCTGTCAGGGTTACCATATACCTCCCTCTCTTTCAGGGCTTCTATACACCTCTTTCTCTCCTTCGAGGCTACCATACACCTCAATCTCCTACAGGGCTACCATACACCTCACGCTCCTTCAGGGCTACCGTATACCTCAATATTCTTCAGGGCTACCATACACCTCACTCTCTGTCAGTGCTACCATACACCTCACTCTCCTTCAGGGTTACAATACACCTCACTCTCCTTAAGGGCTACCATACACCTGACTCCCCTTTAGGGCTACCATACACCTCACTCACCTTCAGGGCTAACATACACCTCACTCTCTTTCATAGCTACCATACACCTCACTCTCCTTCAAGGCTACCAAACACCTCATTCTCCTTCAAGGCTACCATACACCTCACTCCCCTTTTTAGGCTACTATACACCTTATTATCTTTCAGGGCTTCCATACACCTCACTCCCTTTTAGGGCTACCATACACCTAATTATCTTTCAGGGCTACCATAAACCTCACTCTCTTTTTGAGCTACCATACACCTCCCTCTCATCCAGGGCTTCTATACACCTCTCTCTTCTTCAAAATTACCATACACCTCACTCTCTTTCAGGGCTACCATACACCTCACTCTCCTTCAAGGCTACCATACACCTCATTCTCCTTCAAGGCTACCATACACCTCACTCCCCTTTTAGGGCTACCATACACCTTATTATCTTTCAGGGCTACCATACACCTCACTCTCCTTCAGGGCTACCGTACACCTCAATATTCTTCAAGGCTACCATACACCTCACTCTCTGTCAGTGCTACCATACACCTAACTCTCCTTAAGGGCTACCATACACCTGACTCCCCTTTAGGGCTACCATACAACTCACTCTCTTTCATGGCTACCATACACCTCACTCTCATTCAAGGCTACCATACACCTCATTCTCCTTCAAGGCTACCATACACCTCACTCTCTGTCAGTGCTACCATACACCTCACTCTCCTTCAGGGTTACCATACACCTCACTCTCCTTAAGGGCTACCATACACCTGACTCCCCTTTAGGGCTACCATACACATTCACCTACCTTCAGGGCTACTATACACCTAATTATCTTTCAGGGCTACCATAAACCTCACTCTCTTTTTGAGCTACCATACACCTCCCTCTCATCCAGGGCTTCTATACACCTCTCTCTTCTTCAAAATTACCATACACCTCACTCTCTTTCAGGGCTACCATACACCTCACTCTCCTTCAAGGCTACCATACACCTCATTCTCCTTCAAGGCTACCATACACCTCACTCCCCTTTTAGGGCTACCATACACCTTATTATCTTTCAGGGCTACCATACACCTCACTCTCCTTCAGGGCTACCGTACACCTCAATATTCTTCAAGGCTACCATACACCTCACTCTCTGTCAGTGCTACCATACACCTAACTCTCCTTAAGGGCTACCATACACCTGACTCCCCTTTAGGGCTACCATACAACTCACTCTCTTTCATGGCTACCATACACCTCACTCTCATTCAAGGCTACCATACACCTCATTCTCCTTCAAGGCTACCATACACCTCACTCTCTGTCAGTGCTACCATACACCTCACTCTCCTTCAGGGTTACCATACACCTCACTCTCCTTAAGGGCTACCATACACCTGACTCCCCTTTAGGGCTACCATACACCTCACTCACCTTCAGGGCTAACATACACCTCACTCTCTTTCATAGCTACCATACACCTCACTCTCCTTCAAGGCTACCAAACACCTCATTCTCCTTCAAGGCTACCATACACCTCACTCCCCTTTTTAGGCTACTATACACCTTATTATCTTTCAGGGCTTCCATACACCTCACTCCCTTTTAGGGCTACCATACACCTAATTATCTTTCAGGGCTACCATAAACCTCACTCTCTTTTTGAGCTACCATACACCTCCCTCTCATCCAGGGCTTCTATACACCTCTCTCTTCTTCAAAATTACCATACACCTCACTCTCTTTCAGGGCTACCATACACTTCAATCTCTTTTCGGGATACCACATATCACTCTCTGTCAGGGTTACCATATACCTCCCTCTCTTTCAGCGCT